CTATAGCACAGAAGAAAACTTAATAAGCAAACACTTGTCCATAAAGAGTTGACAGCAAGAAACCTCCCAGACACCACATGAAAACAATATCTGAATGTGAGCCTGGCACCAGAACAAACAGGATGAAGTTATGAAAGCTAGGATTTGGAAAGTGCCATAATTATTTATAATAGCAGCAACTGTCCTGGATTCCCCTCATCAAAAAATAACATGGAGGCAGGCTACCAGCCATCAATTTCGGGATCTTAAAATGTGTCCCAAGGGTGTAATGGTGTAATGGAAAGAAACAGTGTCGGAGCCAGAAAGCCTGATTTCTAGGCCCATTTCTGCCACAATTCAGCTCTGGGACCTTGGGCATGTCACTACAGATGAAGAAGAAGCCTCAGAAGTCTCAGGAATCTAGATGACCTGAGGGCTCTTTTAGATTGAGAATGTTATAATATACATCTACACTCTCAGACTCAGATTGTTGAGGGTTGTTTTTTTTTGGGGGGGGGAGTAGAAGATGGGAGGCGTAAGAAAAGAATATTAGAAGGTTTATTTGCTTATTTCAAAGATATTACATGGAAGTTGAAAACATAAAAACAGAATCATCCTCAAGAAGCTTTGGGAGATACAGAAAAAAGGGACCTATGCTTGGCCCCAGGAAATTTAAAGTGTAGCTCTTGAGATAAAATAAAGAGAGAAGAAGGAATTAATCACATTTTCTTCAGTTGGAAAAGTCTAATCTCCTACCCAATACATATATGCCCTATAAAATACTCCCCCAAATGGTTTCCCAACCTATACCTGAATATCTCCAATAACAGGATGTTTATTCTTTCACAAGCTAACCCATTCTATTGTTAGAAAACAAACTTTAAACATCTTTCTTCCAGTGAGTAAAAATCAATTTCCTTATAAATGCTGGCCCTGGTTCTGCCCTCTAGCTTCACAGACTATTTTAACCCCTCTTCCACGATCAGATCTTCAAATTTTGGAAAGAGCTGCTCCATTCAAACCCCTCTACCCTTTGCCCAGCAAGGCTCAATACCCGCACTTCTTTCAACCGTTCCTCATCTGACATGGTTTCCAGAGCATTCATTAGCTGAGTCTCCCCAAGTCTGGCTTGGCAGAGTAACTCCTAACATATGGCACCAAGAATGGAACACAATATTCCAAATGTGGTCTGACAATTATATCTGATTCAAAAAAACATTTATTGAGTAACATCTATGCTTCAGACTAATATTTTTCTTGATCTTAACCATACTTTTATTAACGCACCCTAAAAACACACTAGCTCTGTTTGTTTTAGACCATTTCAGATGACCATGATAAAAATGATACCAGGTTCTGTTAACTAAACTATCAGTTTATTCCTCTGCTGCCAGTTCTAGTCATTACAGTGTAGTAGGAACAGCTTTGGAGCCATGTGGACCTGGGTGGACCCTGTCACTTATTAGCTGAGTGACCTTAAGTTGAAAAAACACTCGTTCGCATGCAATGTTTCATTCAATTCTCTGACAAAAATAAATTTTAAAAGTCAAAGTCAATGACAGATTTGTATGCCACAGAAGATTATCCTCTAAACTGACAATGATCTACCAATCTACTTAAAGAATGATTGATCCTCATGTTTCAGGAATGAAAAATGAGATGGTTTAGTTATTGAAGGAAAAGGAAAGAGAAGCATTACTTCTGGGCCAGGCACTTAATATACATCACCTCATTTCATAACAATCTTGTAAGATAATTATATTGTTTTCACAGAGAAAAATCAAAGAATTAAGGAATTAAGGAATGTGTCTAAGACCACAAGATTAATGAAAGGAAGAGCTGAGCTCTAACACAGTTCTGTCTCATTCCTGTAACTAACCAACACTCTGGAAGAATCTGAGCACAAGAAGAATAGGTGTGGTCAAGGTGGGTCGGGGTAGGATGGTGGAGGCAGGAAAGAGTGTACAGGCACGAGTAGTATGAAGCTAGAGAGAATGCTAGAAAGGTTAGGTTGAGGCCAAATTACAAAGGGTCCTGAATTCCATACTCAGGACTTTAGACTTCAATTTGTAGGCTATTAAGAGTCAACCCCAGGCCGGCCGAGTGGCGTGATGGTTAAGAACTGGCTTGGGATGCTAGAGGGCCCTGGTTCAGATCCCACATATGAGGGCCAGTGACACTGCCCTCCACAGCTAAGAGGCTGAACAAGAGCTCAACCTGGAGCTGGGCTGCCGTAAGTCGCCAGCGACGGCGTATGCTGCAGCCCCTGTGGCAGTGGGTTGCCATGGGCTACCGTGTGTAGCCAGCAGCCAG